CCCTATAGCCCCCCATGTCCCCCCATATCCCCCCCATATCCCCCCATATCCCCCCATAACCCCCCATAACCCCCCCATACCCCCCATAACCCCCCCCCATACCCCCCCATACCCCCCCATAACCCCCCCATACCCCCCCATACCCCCCCCATACCCCCCTAACCCCCCGCGTGCCCCCCAGCCCCATGGCGGCCGAGGTGGAGCTCATGGAGCAGCACAACAACAACCCCAGCCCCTGGGAGGACCCCGCGGGCCCGGCCAAGCTCTTCGAGTGCTCCCGCATCAAGGCCTTGGCAGGTGGGGGGCAGGCCCCCGCCCCCCATAGGGGATGGGGTTCCCTCCCCATTGATGCTCCCCATAGGGGCTGGGGTTCCCTCCCCATTGATGCTCCCCATAGGGGCTGGGGTTCCCCCCCCATTGATGCTCCCCATAGGGGCTGGGGTTCCCCCCCATAGGGGCTGGGGTTCCCTCCCCAACGATGCTCACATAGGGGTTGGGTTCCCGTCCCCATTGATGCCCCCCCATAGGGGCTGGGCTTCCCCCCCATCCCTATTGTTGCTCATATAGGGGTTGGCATTCCCCATCCCCATTGATGCCTCCCTACAGAAATTGGGTTCCCATCCCCATTGATGCTCACATAGGGGTTGGGGTTCCCCATCCCCATTGATGCCCCCCTATAGGCGTTGGGGTCCCATCCCCACTGATGCTCACATAGGGGTTGGGTCCCCCCCCATCCCCATTGATGCCCCCCCATAGGGGTTGGGGTTCCATCCCCACTGATGCTCACATAGGGGTTGGGGTTCCCATCCCCACTGATGCTCACATAGGGGTTGGGTCCCCCCCCATCCCCACTGATGCTCACATAGGGGTTGGGGTTCCCATCCCCACTGATGCTCACATAGGGGTTGGGGTTCCCATCCCCACCGATGCTCACATAGGGGTTGGGTCCCCCCCATCCCCACTGATGCTCACATAGGGGTTGGGTCCCCCCCCATCCCCACTGATGCTCACATAGGGGTTGGGGTTCCCATCCCCACTGATGCTCACATAGGGGTTGGGTCCCCCCCCATCCCCACTGATGCTCACATAGGGGTTGGGTGTCCCCCCATCCCCACTGATGCTCACATAGGGGTTGGGTCCCCCCCCGTCCCCACTGATGCTCACATAGGGGTTGGGTCCCCCCCCATCCCCACTGATGCTCACATAGGGGTTGGGGTTCCCATCCCCACTGGTGCTCACATAGGGGTTGGGGTCCCATCCCCATTGATGCCCCCCCATAGGGGTTGGGTCCCCCCCCATCCCCACCGATGCTCACATAGGGGTTGGGGTTCCCATCCCCACTGATGCTCACATAGGGGTTGGGTCCCCCCCATCCCCACTGGCTCTCGCTGCTGCCCCCCGCAGACGAGCGCGACGCGGTGCAGAAGAAGACCTTCACCAAGTGGGTGAACGCGCACCTGGCGCGCGCCTCCTGCCGCGTCGGGGACCTCTACTGCGACCTCCGCGACGGCTTCGTCCTCACGCGCCTGCTCGAGGTGCTCTCCGGGGAGCAGCTGGTGAGGGACGGGGGGCAGCCCCCCACCATGGCATCCAGTGGGGTCCATGGGGACCCATCTGTTGGCGCCTGGGGTCAGTTGGGTCCTTCCAGCCATGGCTGAGGGACAGCAAGAGTTGGGTTGGAACCTCCTCGTCGTCCTCCAGCTCCATCAACCGTTGGGTTGGGTTGGGTTGGGACCTTCCCATCACCACCCAGGTCCCATCTATCACCGTTTGGGTTGAGTTGGGACCTCCCAACCACAGCCAAGGTCCATCAACCATTTGGGTCGGGTTGAGTTGAGATCTTCCCATCACCACCCAGGTCCAGCAACCGTTGGGTTGGCTTGGGTTGAGTTGGGTCCTCCCCATCGTCCTCCAGCTCCATCAACCATTGGGTTGACTTGAGCTGGGCCCTTCCCAGCTCCATCCACCACCAGCTGGGTTGGGTTGGGTTGGGTTGAGTTGGGTTGGATTGGGTTGAGTTGGGTTGGATTGGGTTGGGTTGGATTGGATTGATTTGGGTCGAATTGAGTTGGGTTGGGTTGAGTTGAGTTGGGTTAGGTTAGGTTGGATTGGGTTGAGTTGAGTTGGTTTGAGTTCTGTTAGGTTGGGTTAGGTTTGATTGGGTTGAGTTGAGTTGGTTTGAGTTCTGTTGGGTTGGGTTGGGTTTCATTGAGTTGGGTTGTGTTAAGTTGGGTTGGATGGGGTTGAGTTGGGTTGCGTTGGCTTGGGTTGAGTTGGGTTGGGTTTAGTTGAGCTGGGTTGTGTTGCATTGAGTTGGGTTGAGATGGGTTGGGTTGTGTCGCATTGAGTTGGGTTGAGTTGGGTTGGGTTTAGTTGAGCTGGGTTGTGTTGCATTGAGTTGGGTTGAGATGGGTTGGGTTTAGTTGAGCTGGGTTGTGTTGCATTGAGTTGGGTTGAGATGGGTTGGGTTTAGTTGAGCTGAGTTGTGTTGCATTGAGTTGGGTTGAGATGGGTTGGGTTGTGTCGCATTGGTTTGGGTTGAGTTGGGTTGGGTTTAGTTGAGCTGGGTTGTGTCGCATTGAGTTGGGTTGAGATGGGTTGGGTTGGGTTGCACTGGGCGGAAGGACCCCCTCCGAGCCGGGCCACGGCGCCTCCCCAGCCCAAGCCGACGCGGGGCCGGATGCGCATCCACTCCCTGGAGAACGTGGACAAGGCGCTGCAGTTCCTCAAGGAGCAGCGCGTGCACCTGGAGAACGTGGGCTCCCACGACATCGTGGACGGCAACCACCGCCTGACGCTGGGCCTCATCTGGACCATCATCCTCCGCTTCCAGGTAGCGCCATGGGGCTGCCCCCTGGCCCTGGGGGCCTGGCCCTGAGCCGCCGATGCTCCATGGCCCTGCCCCAGATCCAGGTCATCAAGATCAAGACCGAGGACAACCGGGAGACGCGCTCGGCCAAGGACGCGCTGCTGCTCTGGTGCCAGATGAAGACGGCGGGGTGAGGGGGGGCCCAGCCCTGGCAGCTCCCATGGCCGGGGCAGGGCCGGCGCCGGGTGACCCCATTCCATCCTGTTCCACCCCCATCCACCCCATTCCATCCCCTTCCCACCCCCATTCACCCCATTCCATCCCGATCCATCCCCTTCCCACCCCCATCCACCCCATTCCATCCCGTTCCATCCCCTTCCCACCCCCATCCACCCCATTGCATCCCTTCCCACCCCTTCCCACCCCTTCCCATCCCTTCCCACGCTTCCCACCCCTTTCCATCCCCTTCCCATCCCTTCTGACCCCTTTCCCACCCCTTTTCCTTCCCTTCCCACCCCATTGCCCCCTTTCCCCCCAGCTACCCCGAGGTGAACATCCAGAACTTCACCACAAGCTGGAGGGATGGGTTGGCCTTCAACGCCCTCATCCACAAGCACAGGTTTGCTTTGGGGGGGGGCACGGACATGGGGGTGACCCCATCCATCCCTTGGGTCCCCTCCGTGGCCTGGGGGGCTCCATGGGGCTGTGTCCCCCCCCCATAGGCCGGATCTCGTTGACTTCCACAAGCTCACCAAGTCCAACGCCACCTTCAACCTGCAGCAGGCCTTCAACACGGCCGAGCAGCACCTGGGGCTCAGCAAGCTCCTGGACCCCGAGGGTAAGGATGGGGCCACCCCATGGCGGGGGGGGGGTTGGGGGTCCTCTGCTCCCTCTGCCTTCATCTCCCACCTCCAAGGAGCCTTGGTGGCCCTATGGGGACCAGAGCTTTCCCCCCCGCCCCATCAGATGTGAACATGGAGGACCCCGATGAGAAGTCCATCATCACCTACGTGGTGTCCTTCTACCACTACTTCTCCAAGATGAAGGCGCTGGCGGTGGAGGGGAAGCGCATCGGGAAGGTGGGTTTGGGATGGTGCCCTCCATGGGGTTCCATGGGATGCCCCATCCTTGTCTCCATTGGATGTCCCATCCTTGCCTCCATGGGATGGCCCATCCTTGGTTCTGTGGGATGCCCCATCCTTGCCTCCATTGGATGTCCCATTCTTGTCTCCATGGGATGCCCCATCCTTGCCTCCATTGGATGTCCCATCCTTGTCTCCATGGGATGTCCCATCCTTGCCTCCATTGGATGTCCCATCCTTGCCTCCATGGGATGTCCCATCCTTGCCTCCATTGGATGTCCCATTCTTGTCTCCATGGGATGCCCCATCCTTGCCTCCATTGGATGTCCCATCCTTGTCTCCATGGGATGTCCCATCCTTGCCTCCATGGGATGTCCCATCCTTGGCTCCATTGGATGTCCCATCCTTGCCCCGATTGGATGTCCCATCCTTGTCTCCATGGGATGGCCCATCCTTGCCTCCATTGGATGTCCCATCCTTGCCTCCATTGGATGTCCCATCCTTGTCTCCATTGGATGTCCCATCCTTGCCTCCATTGGATGTCCCATCCTTGTCTCCATTGGATGTCCCATCCTTGCCTCCATTGGATGTCCCATCCTTGTCTCCATTGGATGTCCCATCCTTGTCTCCGTGGGATGTCCCATCCTTGTCTCCATTGGATGTCCCATCCTTGCCTCCATGGGATGTCCCATCCTTGTCTCCATTGGATGTCCCATCCTTGTCTCCATTGGATGTCCCATCCTTGTCTCCGTGGGATGTCCCATCCTTGTCTCCATTGGATGCCCCATCCTTGCCTCCGTGGGATGTCCCATCCTTGTCTCCATGGGATGTCCCATCCTTGTCTCCATGGGATGTCCCATCCTTGGCTCCATGGGATGTCCCACCCCTGTTTCCATGGCTCTTAGCCCCCCATCACCACCCCCAACCCCACATTGGATCTCAAGAGGGTTCTTTGCCCCCCCTCCATCACCCAGACCCATCCAAACCCCACATTGGATCTCAAGGGGGTTCCGTCCCCCCCTCCATCACCCAGACCCATCCAAACCCCACATTGGATCTCAAGAGGGTTCTTTGCCCCCCCTCCATCACCCAGACCCATCCAAACCCCACACTGGATCTCAAGAGGGTTCCGTCCCCCCCTCCATCACCCAGACCCATCCAAACCCCACACTGGATCTCAAGAGGGTTCTTTGCCCCCCTCCATCACCCAGACCCATCCCAACCCCACATTGGATCTCAAGAGGGTTCCGTCCTCCCCTCCATCACCCAGACCCATCCAAACCCCACACTGGATCTCAAGAGGGTTCCGTCCCCCCTCCATCACCCAGACCCATCCAAACCCCACATTGGATCTCAAGAGGGTTCCATCCTCCCCTCCATCACCCAGACCCATCCAAACCCCACATTGGATCTCAAGAGGGTTCTGTCCCCCCCTCCATCACCCAGACCCATCCAAACCCCACACTGGATCTCAAGAGGGTTCCGTCCCCCCCTCCATCACCCAGACCCATCCAAACCCCACACTGGATCTCAAGAGGGTTCCGTCCCCCCCTCCATCACCCAGACCCATCCCAACCCCACATTGGATCTCAAGAGGGTTCTTTGCCCCCCCTCCATCACCCAGACCCATCCAAACCCGCCTCCTCCCGCATCCCCTCAGGTGCTGGACCAGGCCATGGAGATCGAGGCCATCGTGGAGCGCTACGAGGCGCTGGCGGCCGCGCTGCTGGCCTGGATCCACCAAACCATCGCCGTCATCGGCACCCAGAAGTTCGCCAACTCCCTGCTGGGGGTGCAGCAGCAGCTCCAGGCCTTCACCGCCTTCTGCACCCTGGAGAAGCCGGTCAAGTGAGGCCCTGGCTATGGGGCAGGATGGGACCCACACAATGGGTTCAGCACCCCCACGGCCATGCCCTGCTCCTGCCCCACAGGTTCCAAGAGAAGGGCAACCTGGAGGTGCTGCTCTTCAGCATCCAGAGCAAGCTCCGCGCCACCGACCGCAGGCTCTACGTGCCCAGCGAGGGCAAGAGCATCGCGGACATCAACAAGGTACCGGGCACGGGGGGGGAGCAAAGAGGGGATGGGGATGGCCCCGTTGCACGCCCCCGTTGGTGACCCCCATGTGTGTGTATCCCGCCCCATTCCCAAGGCCTGGAGCTGCCTGGAGAAGGCGGAGCACGAGCGGGAGGTGGCGCTGCGCCGGGAGCTCATCCGCCAGGAGAAGCTGGAGCTGCTGGCCCAGCGCTTCGACCATAAGGTGGCCATGAGGGAGACGTGGCTGCAGGAGAACCAGCGCCTCGTCTCGCAGGTGGGGGGCACTTCGCGTCCCTTCCCTTCCCTTCCCATCCCTTCCATCCTCTTCCATCCCTTTCCATCCTTTTCCATCCCCTTCCATCCCATTCTATGCCTTTGAATACTTTTCCACCCCTTCCCATCCCATTCCATCCCATTCCATCCCTTTCCTTCCTTTTCCATCCTATTCCATCTCATTCCAACCCATTCCATCCTTTTTCTTCCATTTCCATCCCTTTCAATCCTTTTCCATCCCATTCCCTCCCTTTCCCTGCCTTTCCATCCCATTCCACCTCATTCCATCCCATTCCATCCTTTTTCTTCCATTTCCATCCCTTTCAATCCTTTTCCATCCCATTCCCTCCCTTTCCCTGCCTTTCCATCCCATTCCACCTCATTCCATCCCATTCCATCCTTTTTCTTCCATTTCCATCCCTTTCAATCCTTTCCCATCCCATTCCCTCCCTTTCCCTGCCTTTCCATCCCATTCCACCTCATTCCATCCCATTCCATCCTTTTTCTTCCATTTCCATCCCTTTCAATCCTTTTCCATCCCATTCCCTCCCTTTCCCTGCCTTTCCATCCCATTCCACCTCATTCCATCCCATTCCATCCTTTTTCTTCCATTTCCATCCCTTTCAATCCTTTTCCACCCCTTTCCCCTCCTTTTCCACCCCTTTCCATCCCTTCCCACCCCTTTCCACCCCTTCCCATCTTTTCTCTCCCCTCCCATCCCTTTCCCCCCCCATTCCCACCCCACCGCTCCCACCTCCCCTCACCCCAGGACAACTTCGGCTACGACCTGCCGGCGGTGGAGGCGGCCATGAAGAAGCACGAGGCCATCGAGGCCGACATCTCCTCCTACCACGAGCGCATCCAGGCCGTGGTGGAGCTGGCGCTGGAGGTGGCCGCCGGCGGCTACTACGACACGCGGCGCATCGGCGCCCAGAAGGACAACGTCCTGCGGCAATGGGCGCTGCTGGGGGAGCTCCTGCGCGCCCGCCGCGCCCGCCTCGAGCAGAACCTGGCCCTGCAGAGGATCTTCCAGGAGATGGTGCACATGATCGACTGGATGGAGGACATGCAGGTGGGAGCCGGAACTCAACGGGCAACGGAGGGCTCGCCGCGTCCTCAGTGGGAGATTGAGGGCCTGTTGCGTCCTCGATGGGTGATGGAGCACCCATTGCATCCTCAATGGGTGATGGTGCACCCATTGCATCCTCAGTGGGAGATTGAGGGCCTGTTGCGTCCTCGATGGGTGATGGAGCACCCATTGCATCCTCAGTGGGAGATTGAGGGCCTGTTGCGTCCTCGATGGGTGATGGAGCGCCCATTGTGTCCTCAATGGGAGATTGAGGGCCTGTTGTGTCCTCGATGGGTGATGGAGCACCCATTGCGTCCTCAATGGGAGATTGAGGGCCTGTTGCATCCTCGATGGGTGATGGAGCACCCATTGTGTCCTCAATGGGAGACTGAGGGCCCATCACGTCCTCAATGGGTGATGGAGCACCCATTGCATCCTCAATGGGTGATGGTGCACCCATTGCGTCCTCAATGGGAGATTGAGGGCCTATCGTGTCCTCAATAGGCAACTGAGCACCCATTGCATCCTCAATGGGTGATGGAGCACCCATTGCGTCTTCAATAAGCAACTGAGTGCCCATTGTGTCCTCAACGGGAGATTGAGTGCCCATCATGTCCCCAATGGGTGATTGAGCACCCATCACGTCCTCAATAGGTGATTGAGTGCCCATTGCATCCCCAATGGGCGACTGAGCACCCCTTGCATCTTCAATGGGTGATGGCACCCATGATGTCCTCAATAGGTGATTGAGCACCCATCACATCCCCAATGGGCGATTGAGCACCCATCACATCCCCAATGGGCGATTGAGCACCCATCACATCCCCAATGGGCGATTGAGCACCCATCACATCCCCAATGGGCGATTGAGCACCCATCGCATCCCCAATGGGCGATTGAGCACCCATCGCATCCCCAATGGGCGATTGAGCACCCATCGCATCCCCAATGGACGATTGAGCACCCATCACATCCCCAATGGACGATTGAGCACCCATCACATCCCCAATGGGCGATTGAGCACCCATCGCATCCCCAATGGACGATTGAGCACCCATCGCATCCCCAATGGGCGATTGAGCACCCATCGCATCCCCAATGGGCGATTGAGCACCCATCGCATCCCCAATGGACGATTGAGCACCCATCGCATCCCCACCCTCGCTGAGGTCCCCTTGCCTCCCGTTGCCCTCCGCAGGGGCTGCTGCTGTCCAAGGAGCTGGGGAAGCACCTGCTGGAGGTGGAGGACCTGCTGCAGAAGCAGGGGCTGCTGGAGGCCGACATCAGCGCCCAGAGCGAGCGCGTGCAGGCGCTCAACGCGGCCGCGCTCAAGTTCTCCGAGCTGGAGGGTAACGGGGCCGGGTCCCCATTGGGAGCCATGGGGGGATGCTGGAGGGTAACGGGGCCGGGTCCCCATTGGGAGCCATGGGGGGATGCTGGAGCTCAATGGGGCTGGATCCCCATTGGGAACCATGGGGAGATGCTGGAGCTCAACAGGGCCGGGTCCCCATTGGGAACCATGGGGAGATGCTGGAGCTCAACAGGGTTGGGTTCCCATTGGGAACCATGGGGGGATGCTGGAGCTCAACGGGGCTGGGTCCCCATTGGGAACCATGGGGAGATGCTGGAGGGTAACAGGGCCGGGTCCCCATTGGGAACCATGGGGAGATGCTGGAGCTCAACGGGGCCGCGTCCCCATTGGGAGCAATGGGGAGATGCTGGAGCTCAACAGGGTTGGGTCCCCATTGGGAACCATGGGGAGATGCTGGAGCTCAACAGGGTTGGGTCCCCATTGGGAACCATGGGGAGATGCTGGAGCTCAACAGGGTTGGGTCCCCATTGGGAACCATGGGGAGATGCTGGAGCTCAACGGGGCCAGGTCCCCATTGCTAACCATGGGGAGATGCTGGAGGGTAACAGGGCTGGGTCCCCATTGGGAACCATGGGGAGATGCTGGAGCTCAACAGGGTTGGGTCCCCATTGGGAACCATGGGGGGATGCTGGAGCTCAACGGGGCCGGATCCCCATTGGGATCCACGGGGGGATGCCGGAGCTCATCGGAGGTGCTGGAGCCGGCTCTCCCGGCGCAGGGTACCAGCCCTGCGACCCTCAGATCATCTGCAACCGCGTGCACCACGTGCGGACGTGCCTGGAGGAGCTGCGGGAGCTGGCGGCGCGGCGGCGCCGGGACCTGGAGGACTCGCGCCAGCTCTGGGCCTTCTACCAGGAGATGGAGGAAGCCGAGGCCTGGATCCGGGAGAAGGAGCGCATCTTGGGCACCAAACGGTGCGGCCGGGACCTGAGCAGCGTCTTGGCGCTCACCAAGAAGCACCAGAGCATGCTGGGCGAGCTGGGCGGGCGCCGCGCGCTGCTGCACCAGAGCATGAAGAAAGGCGAGCAGCTCCTGGCCAAGGCGAGCGCCGGCACCGGCGGCATCCAGGAGAAGACGCGGGCGGTTTGGTTGCGTTGGAAGAAGCTGGAGGAGGCCACGGGGCTGCACCAGCAGCGCCTGCAGGAGGCGTTGGGCTTCTTCCAGTTCAGCGCCGAGACGGACGACCTGGTGGCGTGGCTGCAGGACACGTACCGCGTGGTGTCCAGCGACGACTTCGGCCACGACGAGCACTCGAGCCGAGCGCTGCTGCGCCAGCACCGCGCCGTCCTGGCCCAGGTGGAGAAGCACCGCGTGGCCGTGGCCGCCCTGCGCCAGCAGCTGGGGCTCCTGGCCCCCGAGCATCGCCAAGGCGTGGACGTGCAGATCCGGGTGGTGGAGGTGGAGCAGCTCTACGGCGAGGTGGCCGAGGTGGCCGTGCTGCGGCAGCAGTGGCTGCAGGACGCCTTGGCCGTCTACCGCATGTTCAGCGAGGTGCACGCCTGCGAGGTGTGGGTGGACGAGAAGGAGCAGTGGTTGGAGAGGATGGTGGTGCCGGAGGAGCTGGATGAGGTCGAGGTGGTCCAGCACAGGTGGGATGCGGTGGGAAGCAGCGGGGGGGGCCCCGGATCCGCTCCGGCACCGTGGGGTTGGGCCCCATCGCTCCCGTCCTCTCGCCAGGTTCGAGAGCCTGGACCAGGAGATGAACAGCGTCATGGGCCGCATCCTGGACGTCAACCAAGTGGTGCAGCAGTTGGTGGATGGAGGACACCCCAGCTCCGAGGAGGTCCGAGCGTGCCAGGACCACCTCAACAGCAGGTACGACACTGATTTGGAGGTCTCTTTGGAAGCCCAAAGGTGGATCCTAACTTGCTTTCAGGGCTCCTTTGTAATGCCCAAAGGTGGATCACAAACTGATTTGGGGGTCCTTGGTGATGCCCAAAGGTGGATCCCAAACTGATTTGGGGGTCCTTGGTGATGCCCAAAGGTGGATCCCAAACTGATTTGGGTGTCCTTGGTGATGCCCAAAGATGGATCCCAAACTGATTTGGGGGTCCTTTGTGATGCCCAAAGATGGATCCCAAACTGATTTGGAGGTCCTTTGTGATGCCCAAAGGTGGAACCCAAACTGATCTGGGGGTCATTGGTGATGCCCAAAGGTGGAACCCAACCTGGTTTTGGGTCTCCTTTGTAATGTTCAGAGGCGGGTCCCAACCTGTTTGGGGGCTCCTTCTGATGCCAAAAGGTGGATCCCTAACTATTAACCCTAACCATAACCCTAACCCTAACACCTAACCCTAACCATAACCCTAACCCCTAACCCTAACATTAACCCCTAACGATAACCCTAACCACTAACCATAACCCTAACCATAACCCTAACACCTAACCCTAACCATAACCCTAACCCCTAACCCTAACATTAACCCCTAACGATAACCCTAACCCCTAACCCTAACATTAACCCCTAACCACTAACCATAACCCTAACCATAACCCTAACCATAACCCTAACCCTAACCACTAACCCTAACCCTAACCCTAACCCCTAACCCTAACCCTAACCCTAACCCTAACCCTAACCCTAACCCTAACCCTATGCGATGCCCAAGCATTGCCATGGCCGTGCCGGGTCCCCACAGGTGGAACCGGGTGGTGGAGCTGGTGGAGACCAAGAAGACCCAACTGAGCTCGGTGCTGCAGATCCAGAACCACCTCCTGGAGTGTGCCGAGGTGAAGGCCCAGGTGCGGGACAAGCGCAAGGCCATCGAGGCCACGCGCTCCGGCACCGGCGACGGCCTCGGCGGCATCTTGGCCTTGCAACGGCGCCTTTCCACCATGGAGGCGGCGCTGGTGGTGCTGGAGCCGCGCTTGGTGGAGCTGCAACGGGAAGGGGAAGCTTTGGCCGCTTCCCACCCGGGCCGGGCGCTGGAGATCCTGGTGCCCTTCGAGGAGATCCACGAGGAATGGGACGGGCTCCAACGGGCGCTGCAGGGCTGCGAGGATTCCTTGAGCGTGGCCGGGCGCCTCCAGGCCTTCATCCACGACCTGGACACGTTCCTGGCTTGGTTGGTGAAGACCCAAGCGGCGGCGGCCGACGAGGAGGTGCCGGCGAGCTTGGCGGCGGCAGAGGCGATGCTGAACCGGCACGGGGCCCTCAAGGAGGAGATCGACGGGCACGAGGAGGACTACGTGCGCATCCGCGCCGCCAGCGACCTGCTGGCCATGGAGGGCACCGAGGTGCCCAACCTGTCCCTGCAGCAGTGGGTGCAGAAGCTGGATGCGGGCTGGGCAGAGCTGCTGCGGAGCTGGGAGGCGCGCCGGGAAGCATTGGCCCAGGCCCACGTCTTCCACCTCTTCCTCCGGGACGTGCGCCAGTGCGAGAGCATCCTCAGCAACCAGGTACAGAGCGGCGGACACAGGACAGGGAACGGAGCAGGCACGAAGGGTTCGGGTTAGGGTTAGATCCCAACATCATTTGGGGTCCCCTTAGTGGGATAGGAACGAGGATATCGCCTCCAAAGTGGGGCTATCACATTGGAGCCCTAACAATAAACCTAACCTAAAAGTAACACTAAACCTAACCCTAACCCTAAACCCTAACAATAACCTAAACGCTAACTCTAACCCTAAACTGTAAACTTAACATAACCCCTAAACCTAAACCTAAATCCAAACCTAACGCCAAACCATAGCCACTAACCATACCCATAACAATAACCCCTAACCTTAACTCTAACCACTAAAATTAACCCTAACACTACCACAACCACTAACCCTAACCCCCTAACCCTAACCCTAACCCTAACCCTAACCCTAACCCTAACCCTAAACCAAAACCCTAACCCTAACCCCAAACCTAAACCTAACCCCTAAAGTTAACCCTACCCCTAACCCTAACCCTAACCCTAACCCTAACCCTAACCCTACCCCTAACCCTAACCCTAACCCTACCCCTAACAACTAACCCTAACCCCTAACAATAACCTAAACCCTAACCCTAACCCTAACCCTAACCCTAACCCTAACCCTAACCCCAACCCCAACCCCAACCCTAACCCAAACCCTAACCCTAACCCCAAACCCAACCCCAAACCCTAACCCCAACCCTAACCCCAACCCTAACCCTAACCCCAACCCCAACCCCAACCCTAACCCCAACCCTAACCCTAACCCTAACCCTAACCCCAACCCTAACCCCAACCCTAACCCTAACCCTAACCCTAACCCTAACCCTAACCCTAACCCTAACCCTAACCCCTAACCCAAACCCTAACCCTAACCCTAACCCTAACCCCAACCCTAACCCCAACCCCAACCCTAACCCCAACCCCAACCCCAACCCTAACCCTAACCCTAACCCTAACCCCAACCCCAACCCTAACCCCAACCCCAACCCCAACCCTAACCCCAACCCTAACCCTAACCCCAACCCCAACCCTAACCCCAACCCTAACCCCAACCCCAACCCCAACCCCAACCCCACCCCTAACCCAGCGCTTCCATCGCCCGTCCAGGAGGCGGCGCTGGTGGGCGCGGAGCTGCCTCGCTCCGTGGAAGGGGTCGCCAGCGCCATGAAGGCGCACAAGGACTTCGGCACCACCATGGAGCTGCACAACCAAAGGGTCCAAGGGGTTCTGGAGGCCGGCGAGAGCCTCCAGCGCCAGGGCAACCTCTACGGCGAGCGCGTGGCCGAGGCCGTGGAGCGGCTCCGGGCCAAGTAGGTGCCGTCAGCACCCAAGGGAGGCGCGCGACAGGCGCCGGCGTTGGGTGCTCCTCGTTGGGATCCCCTCGGTGATGGTGTCCCCACGGGCGCCCGTAGGAGCCACCGGAACCAGGAGCTGGCGCAGGAGCGGGCGCGGAGGCTCCAGGAGCACCTCGAGCTGCAGAGGTTCCTCCAGGAGTGCCAGCAGGTAGGGACCCCGCGCCGTGGGGCTGGTGGGGACCCCCATGGCCCCGGCACCCCCATTTGGTGTGTCCCAATGTTGGTGTCCCCCCGTCTTGGTGTCTTCCAATGTTGGTGTCTCCCAATGTTGGTGTCCCCCCGTCTTGGTGTCTTCCAATGGTGGTGTCTCCCAATGTTGGTGTCCCCCCGTCTTGGTGTCTTCCAATGTTGGTGTGTCCCAATGTTGGTGTCCCCCCGTCTTGGTGTCTTCCAATGTTGGTGTCCCCCCATCTTGGTGTCTTCCAATGGTGGTGTCTCCCAATGTTGGTGTCCCCCCGTCTTGGTGTCTTCCAATGGTGGTGTCTCCCAATGTTGGTGTCCCCCCATCTTGGTGTCTTCCAATGTTGGTGTCTCCCAATGTTGGTGTCCCCCCATCTTGGTGTCTTCCAATGGTGGTGTCTCCCAATGTTGGTGTTCCCCCATCTTGGTGTCTTCCAATGTTGGTGTCTCCCAGTGTTGGTGTCCCCCCATTTGGTGTCCCCCAGTGTTGGTGTCACCACATTTGATATCTCCCAATGTTGGTGTCTCCCAATGTTGGTGTCCCCCAATGTTGGTGTCTCCCAATGTTGGTGTCCCCCCATTTGGAGTCCCCCCCATCTTGGTGTCCCCCATGTCAATGTCCCCCCCAGTATTGGTGTCCCCCAGTGTTGGTGACCCCCATTTGGTGTCCCCCAATATTGGTGTCCCCCAATGTTGGTGTCCCCCCATTTGGTGTCCCCCAGTGTTGGTGTCACCGGGTTTGATATCTCCCAATGTTGGTGTCTCCCAATGTTGGTGTCCCCCAGTGTTGGTGTCCCCCCATCTTGGTGTCCCCCATGTCCCCCCCAATATTGGTGTCCTCCAATGTTGGTGACCCCCATTTGGTGTCCCCCAGTGTTGGTGTCACCGCATTTGTTATCTCCCAATGTTGGTGTCTCCCAGTGTTGGTGTCCCCCCATTTGGAGTCCCCCAGTGTTGGGGTGCCCCCATCTTGGTGTCTCCCAGTGTTGGTGCCCCCCAGTGTTGGTGCCCCCAGTGTTGGTGTCTCCCAATGTCGGTGTCCCCCATGTCCATGTCCCCCAGTGTTGGGGTGCCCCCATCTTGGTGTCTCCCAGTGTTGGTGTCCCCCAATGATGGTGTCTCCCAATGCTGATGTCCCCCCATTTGGTGTCCCCCAGTGTTGGTGTCTCCACATTTGGTGTCCCCCCAATGTTGGTGTCCCCCAGTGTTGGTGCCCCCAATGTTGGTGTCCCCCAGTGTTGGTGTCCCCCAATGTTGGTGTCTCCCAATGTTGGTGTCCCCCCATTTGGTGTCCCCCATGTCCATGTCCCCCAGTGTTGGGGTGCCCCCATCTTGGTGTCTCCCAATGTTGGTGTCTCCACATTTGGTGTCCCCCCAATGTTGGTGTCTCCCAGTGTTGGTGTCCCCCCCACTTGGTGGTGTCCCCCATGTCCACGTTCCCACCATCCCCAGTGTCCCCATCGCAGTGGGGCTGGGATCACCTATGGGGGGGGGGGGGGGGCAGGGTTTGGTCCGGGGGTGTCCCCGGATGCTCCTCAGCATCTTGGGGGGTTCTCGGTGGGAGCTGCCCCGGCTCCAATCCAGCCCTATCCCAGCTCCATCCAAGCCTTATTCCAGCCCCATCCCGGCTCCATCCCATCTCTATTCCAGCCCCATCCCGGCTCCATCCCAACCCCATCCCGGCTCCATCCCATCTCTATTCCATCCCCATCCTGGCTCCGTCCCGACTCCATCCCAGCCCCATCCCGGCTCCATCCCGGCTCCATCCCAGCCCCATCCCGGCTCCATCCCAGCCCCATCCCGGCTCCATCCCATCTCTATTCCATCCCCATCCTGGCTCCGTCCCAGCTCCATCCTAACCCCATCCCGGCTCCATCTCATCCCTATTCCATCCCCATCCTGGCTCCATCCCGGCTCCATCCCAGCCCCATCCCGGCTCCATCCCATCCCTATTCCATCCCCATCCTGGCTCCATCCCAGCCCCATCCCGGCTCCATCCCAGCCCCATCCCGGCTCCATCTCATCCCTATTCCATCCCCATCCTGGCTCCATCCCGGCTCCATCCCATCCCTATTCCATCCCCATCCCATCCCCATCCCGGCTCCATCCCATCCCCACCCCATCCCCATCCCACCCCACCCCATCCCCATCCCACCCCATCCCCATCCCATCCCCATCCTGGCTCCATCCCGGCTCCATCCCATCCCCATCCCATCCCCATCCCATCCCCATCCTGGCTCCATCCCGGCTCCATCCCATCCCCATCCCATCCGCATCCCATCCCCATCCCGCCTCCCTCCCGGTTCCTCCCGGCTGCATCCGGCCGCCCTCGCCGGGGTTTCCTGGCGCAGTCACCGGGCTCTCGGATGCAGCAGCAGCTGCAGCGGCACCGCAGCACCGCGCCGGGGCCGCCCTCAGCACCACCGGCGCCATCCGCAGCATCGGCCTTCCCCCGTCCCCATCCTCATCCTCATCCTCATCTTCATCCCCATCCTTATCCCCATCCCCATCCCATCCCCATCATCCTCATCCCCATCCCCATCATCCTCATCCTCATCCCCATCCCCATCCCCATCCTCATCCCCATCCCCATCCCATCCCCATCATCCCCATCCCCATCCTCACCCCATCCCCATCCCACCCCCATCCTCATCCTCATCCCCACCCCCCCAACCACCGCGTCATCCTTTCCCCCCCCCCCGAGCCTTTGTAGGGATCCCTTTTGGGGGGGGGGGCCCTCCAAGCTCGCCTCCCCCCCCCCCATTCCCTGCCTCCTGCCCTCTGCTCCCCCCCCCCGCTCCAGCTGGATGAGTGGCTCCAGGAGAAGGCGCTGATGGCCGGGGACCCCCCCCGGGACCCCCCCAAACCCTGGATGAGGCATCAGAGCCTCCTGGCCGAGCTGGCGCAGAGCAAAGAGTGGCTGGAGAAGATCGAGAAGGTGGGGGGGGAACGGGAACGGGAATGGGGGGGAACGGGAACGGGAATGGGGGGGAACGGGGATGGGGGGGGGGGTCAACTTTAACCATGGGGTTGTTTTTTGGGGGGGGGGATGTGGTGCTTGTGTGTCCCCCCCATTTGCTGCATTTCCCTGCGTGTCCCCCCCCCCATTCCCGGTGCATTCCCCCCCCCCCCCCGCGGCCTCCATCCTCCAGGGGGCGCTCCCCACGGCTCCGGGGGGACCCCGCACCCCAAGGTCCTTCCCCAGCCCCCCCATTCCATGGGGATTCCCCCCCCAAACCCGGACACCCCCAAACCCCATTCCATGGGGATTCCCCCCCCCCAAACCCGGACACCCCCAAACCCCATTCCATGGGGATTCCCCCCCCCCCCAAACCCGGACACCCCCAAACCCCATTCCATGGGGATTCCCCCCCCAAACCCGGACACCCCCAAACCCCATTCCATGGGGATCCCCCCCCCAAACCCGGACACCCCCAAACCCCATTCCATGGGGATTCCCCCCCCCCCAAAGCCGGACACCCCCAAACCCCATTCCATGGGGATCCCTCCCCCCCCCAAACCCGGACACCCCCAAACCCCATTCCATGGGGATTCCCCCCCCCTCCAAACCCCCCCCAAACCCCAAACCCGGACACCCCCAAACCCCATTCCATGGGGATCCCCCCCCAAACCCGGACACCCCCAAACCCCATTCCATGGGGATCCCCCCCCAAAGCCGGACACCCCCAAACCCCATTCCATGGGGTTCCCCCCCCCAAACCCGGACACCCCCAAACCCCATTCCATGGGGATTCCCCCCCCCCCCCCAAACCTGGACACCCCCAAACCCCATTCCATGGGGACCCCCCCCCCAAACCCGGACACCCCCAAACCCCATTCCATGGGGACCCCCCCCCCCAAACCCGGACACCCCCAAACCCCCTTCCATGGGGATTCCCCCCCCAAACCCGGACACCCCCAAACCCCATTCCATGGGGATTCCCCCCCCCAAACCCGGACACCCCCAAACCCCATTCCATGGGGATTCCCCTCCCCCCAAACCCGGACACCCCCAAACCCCATTCCATGGGGATCCCTCCCCCCCCCCAATCCCGGACACCCCCAAACCCCATTCCATGGGGATCCCCCCCCAAAGCCGGACACCCCCAAACCCCATTCCATGGGGATCCCCCCCCAAAGCCGGACACCCCCAAACCCCATTCCATGGGGTCCCCCCCCACATCCAATTGCATGGGGTCCCCCCAACATTGACCCCCCCCCAATTCCATGAGGCCCCCCCCCCATCCAATTCCGTGGGGTGCTCCCATCCCTGACCCCCCCCACGCCATATCCATTTGGTCCCCCCCATCCAATTCCATGGGGTCCCCCATCCCTGACCCCCCTATATCCATTGGGCCCACACAACCCCGTTCCATGGGGTCCCACCAACCCTGACGCCCCCCCCATATTCATTGGGTCCCCCCATCTCTGACCCCCCCAACCCCATTCCATGGGGTCCCCCC